TGGTGTCAAAATTGCCTCAGAATAATTTTTGACAATATCAGGATAATTTTGAATAAGAAACAATCCATCCTTATAAAACCAGATTAATACAAAATATTGTTAATAGAAACTTGGAATCCATCTAAACCCATTCAAAAAATAAATCATGCACGCTGATGCATACCGCATCGACAATAATTGGTATATGTTGTTCTTTTGCATTTAATATGATACCTTTAGCACACTCCAACATCATCTCATCTCTTGATAAACCAGGCCCAATAACCAGCACGTGTAAGCGCTTAAAAAGCGATGTCACATTATCTATTATCTCTTTGGGAGTTAAATCAGGTGTCTTTCTTCATATTCGTATTTTATGCTCGAGTTAATTATCATTTTGCGAGATTAACTAAATCAGCAGTTGTGACTAAAAATTTTATACTAACTCAGATTTGCGCATATAAGGATGTACCATTAAATCTATAAATAACCAAAACATAAGCTATTAGGCTTAAAAGCAATTAATACCCAGACTTGCAAGAGACTGAGAACATAAAGCATGCCTGGCGAATAATTCTGAGATATTGAGCAGATTGTTAAGTAAGCAATTTAAATTCACATTTCGAATTATAATCATAATCATACCTTTATAGAAATCTCAGCTGTAGGTTGACAGACAACATGTGCCATATCATCCCCCTATTAGTCCAAGTTTTCAAAGTTATTTAAAAAAATACTATGTATGTTTTTGATTAGAAATAGAGAACTTACGAGCTTCAAGGCTGAAAACGCACTAAAATATGGGGCTCCTGTATAACTGAAATGAAAAAAATTCTTATTTATATATATCTAGAAATGTAAAAAATATGAAAAGCATGCATACTCTTCAGAGCCACCAATAACACCGACTCGGCCTGAAAAAAGGTTGTGAATGTTAATCATAATACTTTAAATAACGCAAATCAATATAATTATATACCGGATTGTCCTTTATGGAGTTCATAGGAAAGTGGAGGAATAAGCCGACGGATTATTTTAAGAGAAGGTTTTGTTAAAGTCATTTTACATCATCTAATCATTTACCGTTACACTCAAGCTTCTTTACGATTTATTGATTTTCATGTTACACCTGATCTTGTAATCTAATTGGTCAATTCGATGTCGATCAGTCGGTGCCACTGGGGCAGGGATGTCACGGGACAGCCTTTGGACAGCTTGAATATTAAAATTACAACCTATTTCAACTTTCTAAGTAAAAATGTTTAAAATCAAATAAAATATATGGGAGCTCGTCAGTAGAAAAGGGTAAAAAGTTTTTAGCGTTTTTTTTTTAATTTTAAATTAGAATAGCTCAATAACTACTAAATCAAATTAAATAAATTTTTTTTTATTTAATTTTATAATTACAT